TATCGCAGGCTGAAGTGGAAGCATTAATAATTTTTCCATTGTTTTGGGGAAGAGTGGAGTTATTGTAATAGTTCTAAATTTCACATTCTTATCACTAGATATTTTATTTGGTACAAGGATTATCTTCTTCTTTCTCTACATTTTTGGTATAACATTAGATGAGAAGGATCTGTTAAATATAGTTGTGAATGGATAATATAGGACGTCAGCACATTTTTAAAAAGGAGGTTTGGGATACCATCAGGTCCCAAACATCGGGATTATAGGGCCAGTGAAATGTCACTGAGCCCTAGCCAAATCATCCGGCAGTTGGATCACTGAATGTCGAACAGATCATCGCTCCCTGCCAAGGTCATGTACAAGCAACGCGCATTAGTTAATCATACGCCATGGACTGGCCCATGCGGCAGTGGTCTTACTTTCGCCTGTATCTACCTTAACTAATATATTTCTGTAATAACGTCCTTTGTGTTGTACAGTCTTCAAAGCATCTATAGTACCTTGTTACGTCAATGGGGGTAGTCCACGTAAGGTGCTGACCACGAGGTGTGACTTCGATGTTAGTTGGTTCGTCACACCATTCACGTCTAACTCGAGTAGGCCTCCAATCATTTCGACATAGATCATCTACGTTGGTGATTTACAGGATGAATTAAGCGACTGGAGACATCTTCGGACATCACTTTCAATGAAATTAGGAACACATCTAATCTTTAAACCTGTGGATGAAGGGACATTTTGGTTCCTCTTTGTCTTTGGTTTGGTTTTATGGAATTTTTACTCCAGGAACTTACAAAATTGAAGGACGACATTCTGGTCGATTACTTGTAAATTGCGGATAAACTTTGGTACCTATATAGGAGTTTGGTTCCATTTGTAATTTTGGTTCGTAAATTGCAAATAGATCAATATACTGTACTTCAGTAACAGAAACGAGCGAAAACTTCAATGTAACAGATAATAAAATCGACGAATTTAGGTACTAACGTGCTACGTTTATATAATGATTAAACTATCACGTAGTTGTTAATCATACAAGCATTCAAAATAAACTCTGGAGCCTCCTATCAAAATTAACACTTATTGAATAAAACGTTTTTGGTCGCAATGGGTAATGTAATGAACCATCTCGGATCCGTTAATGCTACGAACGTCTGCTATTTGAAAAGCATATAAAACAATAATAGCTGTTTCCCATTGGCTAATTCTCAATAAACACTATAACTAGTTAAACATAATGGTTTCGGGATATCGTCATAAAGCTTTATCATGACTTGACAATCGCGTAACATGATTGATAAGGTTGATGAAACTATTAACAAAATCGGTCGACAAATTTATTTGTAATTATCATTAAATAGTGTTATTTTCTCGTTATCTTCATCCACTTTAAATGATTACAGTATGTTTCTATATCAAACGCTCACTCGACAAATATCTCAACAGCTTTTCAGTGTAATTGGAGGTTCAGGAACACAATCATGTATGCGAATCATCAGTATAAGCAGTCGAGCAAATCTCATGTAAACTGAAAATACTGTCGAATTTATCCCAATATTGACTAAGATTCAAGCCATTATCATAGACATGAGTTGGGAGTGTACTCTCCTTGGTTACAACTTATGTTCTCCCTTATAATAATAATAATGAAAATAATAATAATTTATTCTCAAATAACAGTTTGTTACATGAGGCATGCCAGTTTACAGGCAAGATCAAATTGTTACAAATGATACAATATCCACTGTAGTAAATTACTCAGCTGGGTTGATAATTTAAAATATATGAATGTAGATGGTTTTAGTCAGAATCACAGCTGGCACGCTTCGTGAAAGTTGCGTTGCGAATGTGCAACTGGTGGTCAAGGATAGGTCGATTGAAGGTGGGAGCTTCTAGAAACCGCTACCTTATGTCCATTTGGAATATCCAAGGCTTTAAGGATGGTGCGGGATGAAGTCACTTGTTCCATATCTCAAGGTGGCCGAAAAAGGGAGCAAGTAAAAGAAAGGACGAGAGGCAGAGTAGCCAATATTCATGAAGGAATGTTTAAAGTATGATTACTCAGTCTAATTCTCTTTAATTAAGGTATTTGTTAAGCAAGAGAACTTTAATAGGTTAAAGAGAATAAGTGTAAACAAGGTATGAGAGGACATACAACTGACGAATGGAGGCGATTCAGAAAGGGGCTGAGAGTATGGGATTATGTGTGGTTATAAAATATACTGCGAAAAACAGTATCCTGATATACAATTGACTATCTTCCTCTTTTTATCGAAGCTATTGGAGCCCTTTTCATCTTTTTTTGTATTATTATTTTTTTTAGGTATCATAGGGTCTTGATTAGGCTTCGTATACTATCTAGTTTGCTTGAAATAGAATTACTGGGTAGGAAGTGAAACCAATTCAACTTTCGTAACATGATTTAATGAGGTATTTTGCATGATAAATGAACAATAATATCTTAAGTTCGTGACATCCCACTAAACCATAAGGAGCCGTAATTAAACAAAATGTTCTGCCCTACAGACATGGGTGGATTGAAGTTACCTCCCCATCATCATGTTTGCTGGTCAGTAACGCCACCCTCCCTCCTTTTGTGATGTTAGGCTCTCTTACGTTTGTGGTAAGTATAAATACTGCTTTAATCAAAGACCATAGTTGGAATACACATAAGCACCATTCACTGTTTATCATCTTGTGAAGCTTTATTTAACTGGAAGCGTCGTGCAACACCACATCACCTGTGTTTATGGCACATGGGCTTTGTCGATAAAACGATTTTAATCATTATATTTCGAATTAGTCGTTTTCGACATTATGCTAAACTCCATACTTGCAACTAGTATACACAATCAGCCGGTGAATTCTATAGATGCTTTGAAGACCGTACGACACAGAGTACGTTAGTACAGAAATATGTTAAAGAAGATACAAGCGAAAGTAAGGCCACCAACGCATGGGCCAGTCCATGGTGTACGATTAACTGATACGCGTTAGTTGTTCTTGACCTTGAAGAGGATCGATGATTTGTTTGATATCCAATGACCAAACTGCCGGATGATTTGGCTAGGGCTCAACGAAATTTCACTGGCCCTACACCACTAATTTTGGTATCGAACCAACGTCACGTTGAATCTTGTGTGAGAGTAGTGTAGTGACGTTGGACTGTAACCTTTGAAAATGAGCATATAATTACTAAAAAGATTTGTATTCAACAATTGACACAAAGAGGAGGTTAAAAGCCGAAAATGCTGAAATATTCAATTCAATCGGATGGCGCGGCCCAGCCTTGCAGGAGTGGTCATTCTTGTGTAATTTATATATTTTACTCATGTTAAATATATTGTTCTATCTCCAGCTTAAATGTGTTCTCCAGAAGTAGGACGAATCAGTGTAGACGACGATATTGCTTCCACGATATATCTAATAGATTAAGTAGTCACATAATGATAGATCTACAATTTCAGGATTAGGTTTATTACTAGAGCAGTACTAACAACGGAGTATATACAACAAACCCTTTAATAGCAGACGAGCAATGGATGGTGGCTCTGGCCAACGGGAAATCGGTGGATGTTGTCTACATGAACAACATCAAAATACTCTTGAAGCTGAAAAATCTGGGCATTGACAGATCTCCCCTAAAATGGCTTAATGATTTCTTGATAGGTCGTAGACAGGAAGTGAAGAAAAAGTTCAAGTGCTTGTCGTGGTAAACAATACTTAGTAGAGTACCTTAACGCTCTGTTTTAAGTATTCCACTTTCTACACGGTATGTAAATGAACTCTCAAGTTCAATTGAGCACCCGATACTAATAGACGTTGATTATATGAAAATTTGACGAAGTGTAGCATGGCGTCGTGTTGAGGTTAACTATGAACACCGCTACAAAGAAACACGTGCTAAATAAATCAGAAGGCGAAGGTAGAACGTAACCAAAGAAACCCATAAAATCTACGAGAAGCCAAATATCAGAAGACAGTTAATGGACCAAATCGAGATATATTCGCTGGCGATCTCGTGGTATCGAAAGGATACCGAGATCGTGCCAGAATACAAGCTTGGTTACAGAACGTAACCGAATTCGCGCGAGGTCACAGTCAAAGTGGGTGTATATGAATGGAAGCACAAAATAGCTGTCATTAGCACAGTCAAACAAAAGCACATTAAAACAAGCACTGGTACAGTTGGTTATAATAATAATTGTTTTTATTAAACCAGTCGTGTTCTCGTGATAAATGTGAGTCACTACAGAAGTGCATTTTCGCTTCGGGAAGACTTAGATAATCTAATTAGCTGATCTAATATGGCTGATGCCCATCAACGCAGTAAATGTGTCTACGCATACATAATGGATATATGGGTGAATAGATATAGGGTTGTTGAAGTGTCAATGCCCGCAGTGTGGTCTCACAATGGTCTTAGAACAACAGTAAGTTACGACCTCAAGATCACAGCCCTGCTACCTCGATCTCACACCCAAGGGCTTCAGAACCCCATGAGCTTTAGAACCGATAGTTAACAAGTTAGTTACTAATATGTTCATGAATGTATACACAACCTTAGTGAGATCCAAACTTGAGACTTCGTTCAGGCACCAGGCCCTGGTTGAACGGATAATCCGGAAAAAGTACAGAGGGCAGCTACACACACAGTGCCAGACACCGGCTGTTACTATAAGTAGGGTGTCTTGAAAAGATGGACACCTTTACTCTGTCCTACCTCAGATTGAGGGGTGGTATGATTTCTTTTTCTCCCTATCAGATAAGGACAACTCAAGGGACATAGTGGACGAGTGAAAAGGCCAAGAACGAGCAAAATACTAGCGGAATACAGGTTTCCAAACCGGGTCATTGATTCTTGAATCCTGTTACCCGAAGCAGTGTTCCCGCACCTTCAATTGATTCATTCAATAGAAGACTAGACACTCATAGAAGCTTACTAGAAAAAGACTAACATAGACCATGGATCTTCTGTCCTTAATACACATACCTAAATGTGAATCTGTTTCACAGATTGTAACGACCGAACTGCCAGTATCCGGTTTGAACGCAGGACTGAAAAACCACAATGTATCCGAGTAGGCCAGACTACGTTCTTCTGTACACATTCTTATAAGATACAACGCATCGAATTTCAAAATAAGGCCAGAAACGCACAATCGCTATCGGCAAAATATTTCTAAATGTCACCAGCAAGCTATTACTACTTGTCGACTTGTTTGAGCGAATCAAATGATGTTGATAGGGATAACTTACTATTATTTTATCATTCGAAATGCAGTTAAAAGACCGTTGTTTAGTTGTTATTGCACTAATCACAGGTACCATACTACTTAAATACCTATTTTCGTTTTACATCTTTATGCATTTTTAAATTTAAAAGTGGACTGTTCATTTTTGTATTGCAAATTGTAGAACATTGCAAAGATTAACATTGTCCCTCTGCTTTCAAGTATGAACATTTAGTCAGTACACAATGTTCTATCTTTTGTATGTTCGAACTAAACTTATTACTTTTGGGAAGCGAAATTAATAGCTAATTTTTTGATGCCTCAAAATTTTTTGGATCCTCTTTTAAATATCCTTTGTTTACAAACGATTTCACATTGAGAATTAAATCTTCGCATCTGTTCTCAGTATACTACCCGTTTAATTTGTGAAATTAAATGTGTATCACAGCCTTAACTCATAGCTGGTTTTCCGTCCATAAAACGGTAGATATAGCCTTTTGAATGAGTAATGTCAACTCATCGTCGATGAGTGGTTCAAATGGTTGTTAATAGGATAGAAGAAGCTTTCTCTTAACGTCTTCCATGTCTGGTATCAGTGGATCATAATACTTCCAGGCAAGAACCTAGGTATATTAACGATAATAGGGTAAAAAGATACTGGTAAATCACAGTAAGATATTATCCTTAGTCCTTAAAAATAGATCAAAGTTTCTCTTAAAGGACTCCTGGGTAGTCGCTTGGACTAGCTCAGCCGACAATGAATTCCAGCATTCGACAACTCATAAAGAGTAGAAGTTGTGTCTACAATGCGTTCTGCTGTGTTGTGTCTCTAGTCTTTGGGTGTTACCCCTTAGATTTGTGTTGGAGCTAAATTTAAGTAGGTGTTTAAGAGGATGTCCGAAAGTGTTAAGGATATATATATATATATATATATATATATATATATATATATATATGAGGTCGGCAACCACATCCCGTAGAAAAAATCTTGCTAAAAAGCGTTGACTAGAATAAACAAACTAAACTATTTCAACTCTGCCCTGGGAGTTGAAGAGAGAGTTATAACGTCTCATGATGGAGGCCAAGATTCTTCGTAAGTCACGAGGCCGGCGGCCCTTCCAACAACCACAGAAACAATCAATATAGGTACATGGAATGTCCAGGTCATGTGGGTAACTGGGAGAACCAGTCCAAAAGCAACGGAGATGAGATACAACTTGAAGGTGCTCGGATTCAGTGAAACACAATCGACTAAAACTAGACAGAAAAGGTGAGTTCGGGAATGATGCTGCTGTCCTTTGTTTACAAGGAAGCAAACGCTCCGCACACAGGCAGTTGCTTTGATGCTCTCAAAAAAGAAGGATGTAATGAACTTATAGGATGGGAATCTCACAGATCTAGTATCATCCAAGCATCCTTCAAAACGAAGGAGGGAATCATGATAAATGTTATCCAATGTTATGCACTCAACAATGATAGCAATAACGACGATGAAGACCAGTTTTATGAAAGGCTTCAACTGATCATAGTGAAGTGCTTAAGAAACGACATGATCATCAGGATGCGAGACCTAAACTCCAATGTCGGAATGAACAACACCGGATATGAAGATGTAATGGGACGATATGGACTTGGAGAGAGAAACAAAAGCGAGGAGAGATTCACAAACCTATGTGCATTCAACAAATTAGTTATACGATACAAAATATTTCCTCACAAACTCATACACAAAGCTACATGGGTCTAGCTGGACCACACCACGGAGTACCAAATAGATCATGTTTGTATCAATAAAAAATTCAGAAGGTCAATGGAAGACGTGAGAACCAATTGAGGGGCTGACATAGCTTTAGATCACCACCTGGTTGTGGTCAAGATGAAACTGAAGCTAAAGAAAATCTGGACAGCTCGGGGAAAAAGCATTACAAAGGTTCAATACAGCCTTCCTACGAGATAATAACAAACTCAACCAATTCAACATAACTTTCAATAGCGGGTTCCAAGCGTTACAGGATTTATTGAAAGTAGAACAAAGTTCTATGGAGAACAATCAGAAAGGGATCAAAGCAATACTAACATCAACGTACTAGGTGTTTGGTCACAACAAGCATCATCATAAAGAATGAATCTTTATGCAAACTTTGAACAAGATATATAGTAAACCAGAGAGACCAGTCAAGTACAAAGAAGGCAAGTTAATCACTGAAATTGAAGAACAAAAGAACAGGTGGGTAGAACAGTTTGAGGAACCCTTGAATATAATAGCTCCATTGAATCAACCGGACATCAAAGCAGCATCTGAAAACCTTCCTATAGATGGTGGTTGACTGGACTACGAAGACCTCCACATCTGGGGGGTAGCATGGAATACAATAAACAGCTTGAATGCACCTGGACGGTTTGAACTTCACAGATGACCTAGCCCTTCTATTCCATAAAGACCAACAAATACACGTGAAAATATTCAGTAAAGCAGCCATATCTGCATCAGTAGACCTCAACTTGCACATTGGAAAAAGCAATATCTTGAAATACGATACGGTGAACACCAACTGAATCACACTTGATGGAGATGCTCCGAAAAATGTGGAATCTTTAACGTACCTTGGAAGCATCATCGATGAACAAGGAAGATCTGTTGCGGATGTGCAGGCAATGATTAGCAAAGTAAAGGCAGTATTCCTACAGTTGAAGAACATATGAAACTGGAAGCAACTGTCAACCAATATCAAAGTCAGAATCTTCAATACGACGGTCGAGACTGTTCTACTGTACGGAGCTGAAAGTTCACGAACTACTACAACCATAACCAAAAACATACAAATATTTCTGCGTAAGATACTCAATGTCCGTTGATCGAATACCATCAGCAACAACCTACTGTGGGAGAGGACAAATCAGGTTTCGTCTGAAGAGGAAACCACGAAAAGACGCTGAAGTTGGATAGGACATACATTTAGGAAATCATAAAACAGCACCTCAAGGCAAGCGCTAACTTTTAATTCGGAAGGGAAGTAGAAAAGAAGAAGGCCAAAAACACACTATATCAGGAATTGAAAGCAGATATAAAAAGGATGAATAGCAACTGGAAAGAAGTTGGAAGGATTGCCCAGGACAAGGTTGTATGGAGAGTGCTGATTAGCGGCCTATGCTCCTCCACGAAGGGTAATAGCCCTAACTAAGTAAGTAAGGAATACAAGTCTTTAAACTGCACCAACTAAAGACACCTTATTTTATAACAAACGTCCCAAAGATCTATATAATGTTAATAACAATTCCTTTTTCAATTTAAGCCCATTGTATGCATGGAAAACTCAAATAGATATACAGAAGCGACATGAGACATGATAGCAAATGTGTTGATTTAAGTTGTCACGGTTTACAAACAACAAGAAGTATAGAGATCAACGGGGAAAGTGCTTCTAAAATTATGAGAAAAAAAAGACGTTACAAATGTGCACAAACGAAAATCTTTTCAAATAAAGCATCTTAACTGCCAAGGTTTGAAATAGAGTACTATCGATTATTGGATACTGGATATCAAATCAACACGTCACTATTCTAAATAAAGCAATTGTTGTGGGAATTCTTTTGATTGACAGGTGTATTAGTCACAGACTAATTTCAGTCATCTATTTTTGCCTATTACTCCATGTCTAGTTTCAACATTGCTGACTCGGTGATTCTACCATCACCAACAAATCGTAGATCACCATCACGATGGCACCAAAAATACCCTAGCTATTCTGGCATTCACTATATGTAAGTTGATTTAATAAGTCACACCACCACCAACACTCACACAGCCACTAAATCACAAATGTGTCGTCTACCGATGGCTCACTATCAAGGGTGAGTTCAAGGACAAGTTCCTCTCAGTTTTCTAAAATCACTTTGGATTTGAGTGGTAGAGATTACCTGCCGTAGCTATGGACACTGACTGGCAAATGACAAGTCGCAATTTGTATAAATTGAGTATCGTTGCACAGTAGGACAATATCATTCACATAGTGAAGATCAAGAATTATCTCTTTAGGTGACAGTTCTACACTATCACTAATTCGTTCCACCGGAGTGGTTTCCAGAATACTATCGACATCTATAACCAAAATATATAACAAACTTAATAAATTATATGATTGCTCTTAAGGTGTGATTACATTTCAAAGATGTTTGTAAAAAATTGTTTTATGTATTGTACGAACTTCAACAAATTAAGCTCTTGCGTACCACACTACTAGGTAATTTCCAAGTTTTTATAACAGCCTAAAATGGATTACTTTAAACACATCTAGAAACGTGTAAATTAAAAAGAGATCGTTTATTAACAGGACTAATTTTAAAATTCCTTGGCGTTTCACTGATCAGTAACTACTACTATAACTGTTTTAATTCACTGAATTCTGGTTTGTCTTCCTTAAGATGAAATGCTATTGAATATGGGGGGAAAGTGAAGAGATATATTAAATAACTGGTTTTTTAAACCACTGATTTCGTAATTAAAATGTCTTGTTAAATGTTCTTTTACGTACATAACTTTAAAAAGTTTCTAAAATAGTGCTATTTCGATAAAATGGTAGATCTATATTTGAGCTACATGCATTATTAAAAATGAATATACATTTATTACGGACACAAAGTTATTCCCTGGTTCTACATTTGACATCCATGCTTCATACGTTTTTATCATCGATTCATTTAAAAATCAAAAGTTTTGTTAGTAGATTTTTTAACTAGTAAATTATATTGCTACAGAAATATAAAAGCGGCGTAGTGTAAGATTATTATCCATCACTGGAAGCTAATTTATTCAGAATTAGAAAAAAAATCTCTTAACCATTATGGCCTCTTAAGAATAAGCTTCAAAGATTATATATTTTCTTGATGGTACGTGTAAATTTGACACAAAATTTATGTCGTAAGATCGTTATGTATTTACATGAAAATGATCTTTATCAACATAGTTTACTTAAAACGAAACTTAGTTTCTTGAGTGAGTTTTTCGTTTAAAAGCCCGTCTAAAACGTTGGTTTCCAGTAGTTGATAAGTTTTTGTCCAGTTGGTTAGCATGTTGATTTTGGAGTGATATTATGAAAAAAGGTAGTATTTTCTCGTCTCACTCTATTTAAATTAAATTAGAATCTAGAGGTGAGAAGTATGCTAATAAAAATAAACTTTTTGAAGTTTATTCAATCACAATTATCATACGATCAAAACTATTCAACAGTGTACTAGTGTGAATTCAAAAATATGAGTTAAAAAATAAACAATGCAGTTGTGACGATTCGAGTCCTTCCGTTGTTGGTGTTAAGGACCGCGAATTTTCAGTTTCCTGTGGCATACATGCATGCTGGGCGGATTAATAAAGTAATTAATCTTTCAAATACTTTGAAAAGTCATGTGGTCTTAAGTTTATGTACAATTAACTTTATCATTTATATAATCTTAAAACTTCCTATTTAAACAACTCAAATGCTACTGACGGATTCTTTGTTTCCAAGGTCGTAACTTTCCTAATCGACCTACATATCATTTAGTATGTGAAGCCAAATTCAATAATGAAGTTTTATCAACTGATCCAGTTGAACATAATGAAGAACCCCAATTTGAACAGGAACTTGCTTGGGATTTAGATAAAACAAGTTTAAAACAACATCGTTTACAACGGAGTGCATTGAAAGTGACGGTATCCGCTGTTGACAGCCAATCACCAGTTAAAGAACCAATTGGATTTTTCATGTTAGATTTACGTTCATGTTCTACTGAAAAAGTGAATATTCTTTTAATCTTGACTCATACAACTTTACTAATATGTTTTAAAAGGTCTACAAATGGTATCGAATTCTGCATAGTAAATATAAAAGCAGTCCAGCTGTATTTGCTTCAATTTATTTAGATATTGAAGGACAAGAACTTGTTCCAAATCCAAAAATCAAAACAGGTAATCAGTTGTCAATTTTGTTTGTGTTGCGGTTTGATTATGAGTATTGGTAGATTTTTAGGCAATTATTTGTTGATTTATGTTAGATTTTACTTCTTTAATGTAATATTTTTAAAAGACTCTCGCGACAAACGTAGAACTTTCATCGACTAAAGTAATTTGGATATGCTATTATACCTAACTACTGCCAACCTCAATAGTCAATGTTGTTTGGTGTAGGAGTGAGCTGAAAGGAAGTTAAGGGTGTCCAAACCAAGACTTGATGCCAGTCCATGGACTGATTGATTGTAAGTCTAGAATGCGGACTACCTGGTTGGTGTCGGCGCGATAACCGTATTCATTGGCTGCAGAGTTTGGGTCACACGGTTTAGAGTTATTCACGATGGCGCAGATGAACTTGCTTGTTATCTTTCTCTCGATCATGAATTCCGGTATTCCTTTTTATATAACTTTAAAAGCTAAGAATTAGGATAAGTAATGGAGATTAAATTGGAAGAATATCTGTAAGCTATATTGGTCAAAACTTATGCAGATTGATATTTGAATTGAAAACTCTAAAACTTTAAAGTCACCTTGGACTGTTTATAAATGTTAGGCAACACTGACTATGGTAGATCACACGAACACACTTACCAGTAATCTGAATCTTATCGAATACAGACTGAATAATAAGCATTTCATATAAAATATACTTTAAAAGCAGTTGTTTCATTTATTTTAGCTTAACATCATGTAGCATTCACTGTATTATTGCACAACAAGTAAATTTGTCGATTTCAAGCACCTTAAGAAACGAGATACAGGTAATTTTCACTTAACTGTTACAAGGTGAGGGTCACTATCTCTCGAATTTCGGGCAAAGATCTAATAAATTCGTTGATATTCTGTAGTTTTAACAAAGAAGTCATGTTAAGTTTATGAGCCTATGATAATAAGATTTTCAGTAAAAACAATAAATTTTATGATTTTTTGCTGACTACTGTGTTTAGTCTTGGGTTAAACCTTTTGAAAATAATTAATTACTGACATTTCATATCTGTATCTCTATTAAAAATGAAGTATAGGATCATAGCCTACAACGAATTCGTGTTAAGAACAAATGATATAAATATTTAAATCTGAAGTTTTACATCGCAGAGCGGCTTCTGTTAGGTAATCGTTGAAAGTTAAAAGATATTGAACCGCTGTTTCGTCCCAAAATGAGGTTCAACTAGTAGGCAACCAGTTTAAACCTGGTTCAACCAACTACTTTGGTTTGGGTATATAAATCTATATATATTTACTTAAACCTGTTATTTCTTCACGTAACATCGACCGTCGACTGGAGATCTTCACAGCCATCATACAAAAGTATGTTTCAAAACCGAGTAAATAAATCTATACCTAGAAATGAGCTACATTGAAAAACGTTTTGCAACATTTTCTTTACTTCTTGTATTATCAATTTATATAATTCTGTTTTTCCACTTATTTGTTAGGGATTTCATTGTATCTATTGGTAATTTTACAATGAACATACATGCACATGTAAATGCATTATGTATACAGCCTTGTACAATATATCCAATTTATTTCAACATATATTTACCATAAGTAATTGTCATAAAGTTTTATCTTCAAAATTATCCTCATACTATTGATTATTCTGGTTGGCATATTTTTAGCAAGGTTGTTTTCTACAGGATGACGTTGCTAACCCCTTGCTCAACTCTCCTCCTTTGTGTGGATTTGGGACCGACAGTAATCCTAGGAGAGCTACAGGTGGGGTTATATCATTAATCGATGATAATTACCGGTATATATATAATTCAGACGGTTTTTTCTTCAAATTCATAAGGTTTGGCGATGAGCCTATCAGAAGCTGATTTAATACCTCGTGTTTATAATTCAGAAGAAGACAATCAACACTTTTCAATACCTACAACAATGGCAAATATACAATCAACAAATATCACTTGGTATACAATTGGTCCAAGGCGTCTAGCAAAAGAATATTTTATGTTAACTTTTCAGTTTGAAGAAGCTTTTAAATTAGAATCATTAATTCCAATTGAACAAAGTTTATGTTCAGGTGAACATATTGGTGGATTTCATTTTACATGTGAACTATTTGGTATTACAATTTACTCTAATCAATTCAGTCAATTAATGCAAGTGAAATTCAATTCAATCGAACAAACTTTCTATATTAAGTGAGTTTTTTATGTGAAAAGAAAATATTTAGTCATGATAAACTTTGATTGGTTTTATTCACGAATTGAACACTGATTTCTAGTTAAATAAAGTAAAAGAATTTATGCTACAGTGCTACAGGGTTTAATTCAATTAAACGGCAATGGGGATTTATTGCATAAAACTAAGTAAAATATATTTTAGCAGTTGAATTCACGAGTCAATCTAAGTTAAACCACCATTGAAAACCCGGAAGCGCTGGAAGGCCGTTTTGTCCTATTATGGGCTCTTCAGTAGTGTGCATCCTCTATCCCGCATGCGGGATTCCAACCCAGATCCTTATGTCTCGCGCGCGAATGCCTAAACTCTAGACCACTGAGTCGGTATCCAGTGGTGACAACGTCTAACTTCAATCGATCCATGATCTTGTGCAACCCTTTTTTATCCATTGTCCGAATCGGATAACTGTCTCCATCCGACACGGATTGAACTCCACTGATCACGGCTTCTAGCAAAAACTCCAGGAAATCCAGCTTGAAGCTAGTCACTAGTGAGCACATAATTATTGTCATTATGGGGATTGCTTCGTGAATTTAAGTGTTAAAATAATACAATCTCCACAGATCCCCATAATGATAAATAAAATGTCTAAAATATATGACAACGATTGAAACATATTACAATTTAGCAAAAAAATTAAACAGTATGAAACATTATGATTGTCAAATTGTGAAGTATTTATTGATATGTGATAACAATGATGACTTACCCAGTGCAATTTACTACTAGTGAAGTTATTTAATCATCACGGAGTGGCATCTAAGTTTAATAATAATCAGTGGTAAAAGAACGGACTTGGGATGGATGATAAAATTCCGGAAGAAAATATAGATTGATGAAATCAAATTTATGGAACATTAACAAACTTTAGATCTGAATAAGACAAAGGTTGGATGAATTTTCGACATTCCAAACGATTTTGAGCCATGTTATTCAAAGGTACGATAATCACGTGAACCTCAAGCTAGTAGTATACACTTGTTAACATTGTTCAGTCCAATTGTTATTGACTCAATGGACTGATGCCTTGTTTTGGTTTGCCCACCCCTAGCTTTCTTTCAGTCTACTCCTTCATCAGCCAACATTCCCCATAAGAGTATGTTGTGATTGGGCACACGTAACACATATGCCAACCACTTCAGTTGATTAAAACTTACTACCTTATCAGTCGATTTACCTTCATTACATACTATCCTAACCTCGTTATTTCTCACTCGGTAATCCTAAAATGCCCAGACTATGCTTCGAAGGCGCCTATGGTCAAATATTGGTAGCCTATAAATAAACTTTATTCTTAATGAACCATGATTCACAGCCATAGAATAGAATGAAGCGAACTGTTGCACAGCCATGCTAACCGATTCAATATGATCGTGAACTGTTTTTAAAATATGAGACGGTTGACAGAAACTACAATAAGCCTTACACAGAAGTTTTATATTCTTTAACACCATTTCAACAAAACGTATTTGGTAACCGTTTGAAAATGACTAGTGCTTATGCAATTCAAATCCATTTCACCTTGTTTCAAATTCAAAAACATGCCCAATTGACTGTCTGGGTTAATCGACATGAAATATAGGTTTAGGATTTTGTTCTGATTGTTTTTAATCGTTTTACCGTAAATTAATCTGTTTTTCAGTTTTTAAGATCACATTCATATGTATAAAATTACATGTTCCCCAACTATATGTATAACTAGCTGAACTAATTCTCTAAAGACTTCAAGCGCTAATCAACAGTAATGACTCAATTATTCCCTGTCAGAAAATAAAATCATTAATAATGTAATCAGAGTCGCCTAGTCTATAAAGCATTAAATAATTCACACCCGTAGATTTTAATTCACTTTTAAGACTAATTGTTAATATTTATAATCTTGGTAAATATATTTTGAGAACCTTCTGAGTAAAACTTTTTCAGCAGTTAACAATGTCCTAATAATCAAACAACTGTTTCCATTTCTTTTTTTTTTTTTGAGATCTTTTAAGATCAGTAGTGAGGTGACTTCCATTCCTCAATATGCTATCTAAACGTATGTTTCTTTTTCATTTCAGATCAACAGTTGATATTCTACGTATTTATTTTGTGCATATTACTCCATTAGTGATCAAATTTTGTTTTGGAAGTCATGTATTAGCACATGCAACTGTTCCAGTAGAACAACTAATACCGTTCAATGATCATATACTACAGAATACTGCTGTATTAAATAAAAGTTTTGACGTAAGACTCAATATTTTACTCTTGTCGCAGCTAAAATTAGTCAGTTTTGTTAGTAATTAGTGTAAGAAACCATTGGTTTATTTACTTACTTTTTATTAGATATTCACTTCAAATTTCCCTTCTAAATATTGTCGAATTTACATTCATTTTTACAACCAATGCAAGAGGTTGAGATTATTTAAATTTTACTTAAGAATAATTTTTTGAAATAATATAGGTGTTCGTCTGACACTATTTCATGATGATTCACTGGAATCGAAGTTTGCTTAGCACAGATAAGCTCATAAATCCGTAATATACCAGCGGAACGTTTCCGACTCAATAACAAAAGTTCACACAATTAATCTTGAGCTTTTCGCAATGCTGTTTATGTACATATAAAGATCATGAAAAAGACTTCCATAGTGCCGTATGTACAAGTTAATTTATAGAATGCTTTTCGAAAATAAGTTATCACCAACTGTGGAGAACAAGAACACAAGTGGGGACCATCGAATGTATTTGGATACACAAATTTTACTACGTCTTAGTAAAATCTGAGAACCATATACTAAATACTTCATTTGCAAAATGTTAATCAATCGTCTCAGACTTCATTGTTCCTTCGCTTTCACAGCAATCATTCTCTGTTCTCTTTTTCTTTTCTTCGATCTTCTTAACCTTCTGCCGCCAGTCATTTCACTTTCGATGCATGATACATACTACTTATATATTTTGACATCAGTAGCACACACCACACTGACATCAAAACACTTTTACTTATGAATACAAATAATCTATTAAAGTTTTCTACATCATGACCAGCTAAAATAGGAAAAACCTTCAAGGTCGTTTAGCAGCCAATAATTTTTCATTTGACTTCAGTTTGAAAGTAATATTTCTTAATTTAAAACCATTTTTCATTAAAATGATAAACAGATTGGAAGTGTATTTTATTCACTAGAATTCCCAGTATTTTCTTGCGTTTAACAAAACAAATTATTATTTCTGCATTTGTCCTATTTTACATTACTTATTTATGAGTTACAATTTGTTGTTTTACTACGTTCCACATTATTTGGGCAAGCGATTTCAAGTAGCTTTGTTGCAAGTATGTTATCTTCTTGTTATCGCTGAATGAAAGTTTTTGGAACTTTCCGTCTTCTCTCTAGCCCAGTCTATTTTCTTACAAACTGGTGTTTGTGGATGATCTCAGAAGTTGTGACCTTTTTATTAGTATATAGTCGTTATCTCAAGTCTTATTATTGTTGTTTTAATGTAATTAAAATTAAAGTTTTTGAGTTAGTTTATTTCAGATTTGAATTTTTCTTCTCTCTTTAGCTTATATCCGAAGAATCTGATCAACAATTAAAAGAATATCAAAGTAAGCATACTGAAGATAAACCACGTGTCAATATAAACATAACACTTCGACGATATCCTGATAAAAATGCAATACAACAACGATCGATCATGACAAATAATAATAGTAGCAGAAGATTGCGCAATATGACAGATTCATTGAATCATATTTCTTCACTGAATCTCGATCCATATGCAGATGTAAATACAATGTGTTCGAATGTAAATGAAAATTATGGTAGGTTAATGTCATTTATTACTTTTAATAAATAACTGTTTGTGTGTTTTTCTATAGATCAGTTTGTAACTTCGTTACCGGAGGTAAGCATCCAATACTATTATTGTATCTTTTTTAATTATTATTTCTGACTATATTTTAAATATGTGTATAGTTTCACTAGCTCAACCACTCAGTATACTCTTAGTGTCTTTGTAGAAATTTGCTGCTCACCGTAGATCAGTTCAATCAGAGGTTTAGGTATTTGATTGCCAATCATTTAGTTAAAGACTTGAACTGCGATGTATGTATTTTGGATCCAACAGCTAAATAGTGTCTTTAGTCCTTAAAAACTTGATTAATAAGTTAAATTTCTACATGAGTAATTGCTTTACTGACTGGTGCAGAAATATTGACAGTCTAAATCATACGAAACAATCAGTTTCTATCTATGTTCATGTAACTTACCAAGTACACCAATTTATGTACTCATCTTTAATTTATATCATTTGTGTGAAGATACATGATACCAACTGAATATCTAAACCAAAATAAGTGAATGGCTAGATTCGAACTGAAGACCTACTAACTGGAAGCTTATTGCTTTCATCACCACGGGATTGATCCACAAATATTCAGTCAATGTAGTATTATAATAGACAATGGAAAAACATTTACATTTCTCACAGTTATGTATAAGCTTAATTGCAAATACTTCACGTCAGTATACAAAACAGCAATCAATGGAAATAGGTACAAAACAATGAAAATTAATGATATAAACATTTGTTTAAAACAGGAAAAGAGAAGCATCTGTGAGAGGACTATGATATGAAATGAATAAGGCGTAACACAATATGTGTTGTTCGGAATTCAGAATTTTTAACTGACGGTTTTGATTGCCTCAATAATTCATTAAAGATCTTATTCAACATTAATCAGTTTTTATAGATTTGTGTAATTCCTTGATGTGACCATCCGTTGTTAACTTTCGTTTAATCTAGGCTTCATCTTATGTAGTATGTTTAGGTGAACTTTGATTTAGTGAAATAACTAATAACACAATCTCAGCGTCGTTTCGCAACTTCCATAGTGTTATAACTCAGTAGCTTATAAGTTACAGTCGTTATTCTTTTGAGTGAACAATATTTAGAATTATGTAGATTTTAATCAGAGATTATTTTAATGCAGTTTTTACATTTAATTTCTTCTGTGCACTTGGTCACCAGTTTTTGTCAAAATGTACATACGAATTTCGATGAACGTGCTCATACAGACTATCAGTTCATATTGTATTCTGTGCAACAAAATTGACTAAATCATACACTTTTACTTGAATGTGAGCGTGTATATCTAAAAAGTACTATAATATGTTTTGTTCTGTACATACGTTTGGCTTTATTTCAACATAACAGAACTTTTGTGGCTATCCCAAATAATTATTTATATTAGGTAAGGGGCTAATGCATTCAATTTATCTTTTTTCTCAGTTAAGATTGTGTAAATATAGGCCAAGATTAAGATAAAGCGTTACAAATAATTACAATATAACGTGTATTTAAAGCTAAGATAACGTTTTTTGGGGATAAATTCCTTCACAGGGAAAAACACTTAAACAATCCAGTAGAACACTTGAACGTGATGACTATTTATGTCCATCAAAACTGCTGAACGTTTATCAGTCAATGGATGGTACACCCAATTGGCATCGTTATTGTTACACTATTGAACTAAGAAGTGTAAAAAATATTCAAGGTTTCGACCATGAGTTACAACTTTACGCCAGGTATGTGAAACTTTATTTGACTTCGACTATACACTACTGATATTTTTTAAATCATTAGTGGGGTTCCCGTAATGTTGTTACTGTTAAATAATGAGGGCTTTAGATAGTTTTTAAACACTCCCATTATACCATTATAGTTTTAATGTCAACTTAATAGCTAGTTGAAACTAAGAGTTTGTTAAAAAATGACTTTTTTTATAGGTAAGACAGCATTGTCATAAACAAATGAAATTATGTATTAATTTAAAAATAAATATACAACACCTTGTCAACTAGCATTGCAACTTACTAAAGTACATAAAGAGGGAAGAGAGATTTTTTTCACAAAGAGATTGTACTGTAACGATGGTGATTACTGTTTGCTATAATTGTTTTTATCCAGTTTTCCAATCAAAGGAATTTATGCAACTCATCAATAGGTTGCTGCTTTTTAGGAGCTTAAATAGATTTTATGTTTATATACTCACTAGAACTTTAAAAATTTAGTTGCACTGTTTTTAAGGTGGATATTTAGTTGTATCGCCAACTTTCTTTAATCCAGAAAATATTATGGAAATAAATGTTTGATAGAATGGGTTTTGTGGACCTACCGGCTTCGCGCGCGAGCACTTAACCACTAGACCACTGATCCGGCATCCAACGGTGTTAATGTCTAACTTCAACCAATCCACGAAGTTGCGCCACCGCACACCATTGTCTTCAGTGAGTTGTTATCTCACAACAGACCGGTTGAACTCTACTGGTAACGGCTTCTCACTAGAACTTCAGGAGTTTTTCCTGAAGTCAGTCACTAGTGAGCAGTTGATTATTATTATCAGAATGGGTTTTGTGGAGAATTTTAGAAATTTCACAGTTTTTTGAAATCATGAGTCAGTTGAAGCTAGACCACCATCGAAAACCTGGAAGCACTGGACGGCCGTTTCGTCCTGGTATGGGACTCCTCAGCAGTGCGCATCCACGATCCCGCACCACGCGGGGCTCGAACCCAGGACCTACCGGCTTCGCGCGCGAGCACCTAACCACTAAACCACTGAGGAGTCCCATACCAGGACGAAACGGCCGTCCAGTGCTTCCAGGTTTTCGATGGTGGTCTAGCTTCAACTGACTCATGATTTCAAAAAACTGTGAAATGTTTGATAATTGATGTTATTATTGTTTAAGTTAGAAGACTGTATTTAGTTCTCGGAGTTTATTTATGCATAACTCAATGAATAGTTTTACAGTAATTAAATAACTAGTTCACGTTATAAATTTGCATTCGAGCTGATAAAAGCATCAATAATAGTTGAAAGTCATTAAAGACAAAAGCGAAAATGACTAATTCAATTTAGTTGAACAAATAAAGAGTACACTAACCGGTAAGTAAGCAAATGGTTGGTTTGCTATTCGAAAAACATTATAACGTCAAGAAACTATGTAGTAAAATACTAGTTATTTTTATGTAATATAGGTCATATAAATCTTCAAAAAAGCTCTTCATTTCTAGAATGATCCCATCAGTTCTATCTGAATCCATCTTTTTACTGTACGAACAAAAACATGAATAATATTAGGTATCTTCAATCACCTAGCTTCTTAATATGTTGCACGCGATGGTAAGTCAATTGGACTAGTGGTTATATTTCAACTTCTTTGATAGAATTTGATCACCACTGAAAGAACTATATAAACATGACAGAGTTCACTACACAGTACTTAATCAATTTAAGGACAAATAAATTAATCAGGAATAATTTGTTCTCTGTATTTACTTAATTAGCTTGTTACCCTCGTGGAAAAGCATAAGCCTCCCACCAGCATTCTCCATGAAACTTTGTCTTGAACAATCCTTTCCAGTTCCTATTCATCCTTCTCATATCTGATTCCAATTACCGATGCCATGTGTTCTTGGTCTCCCACTCTTCAGTTTCTCTTCAGAATTGCAAGTAAGCACTTGCCTCGTGATGCAGTTTGATGATTGCCTCAATGTACGTCATATCTACCTCCTGCGTCATTTCCTAATTTCCTCTCCAAATGGAAGTTGGTTTGTCCTCTCCCACAGTAGGTTGTTGCTGATGGTATTCGGTCAACGGGCATTGAGTATCTTGCGTAGACAATTGTTTAGAAATACTTGTATGTTTTGATGATAGTTTTAATAGTTCTCGAAGTTTCAGCTCCGTACAGTAGAACTGTCTCGATGTTCGTATTGAAGATTCTCACTTTGATGCTGGTCTACAGATAGTTGTTTTGAATTCCACATGCTATCCAACTGTAGGAATGCTGCTTGTGCTTTGCCATCCGCTTCTTTCCATCTGCACCGGATCCTCCTTGTTGATCAATAATGCTATGCAGAGATTCTCTGTCAAGTGTGACTGAGTTGGTGCTCTCCATGTTGTGTTTAATGATCCTGCTTTTTCCTTTGTCTACATTGAGGCCCACTGATGCAAACACGGCTGGTTCACTGGATATCTTCATCTGGATTCGTTGGTGTTTATGAGATAGAAGGGTTAGTTTAACTGTGAAGTTCAAATCGTCTAGTTTGTATTCAAGCTGTCCATTGTTATCCGTGCATCTCCTCAGATGTGGAGGTCTCTGTGATCCAGTCAACCACCAGAAAAAAAGGAAAAGGTTGAGTGTAAGCAGCGTTGTCTGACTCCGGTCCGTCGTTGATGGAGTGACATCTATAGAAAGATGTGTGTGCTGCTTCGATGTCTGTGGATTCATTGGAGCTGGCCTATTCAAGAGTTCCTCGAAGTGCTCTACCAATCTGTTCCTCTGTTCTTGAATTTCACTGATTGTCTCGTCTTCCGTGTCCTTGACTGGTCCCTCTGGTTTACTATATTTCCCTACCAGTTTCTTCGTTGTATCATATAGTTGTTTGATATTTCTTTCTGTTACAGCTTTTTCCTTTGTCATTGGTAGGTGTTCCACGTATTTATGCTTGTCGTGCTTCGATTTGGGCACCCGGACAACATAACAGCCTTGATGCCAATTAATGATAACTACAAATGACCTGATTGTTATTGTATGTCTCATATGAATTTGGTGCCCACTTATGCCAAAGTTTACGTGTTCAAGTAAATAAATAACTGAGCAAATAAATTTCTACTTGTCAGTTCTTATGCTCCTATTCACTTGCCTTCTTGTTTCAGTTTAATTAGCTAGTGCCTCGACGTTCTCTGTTCTTGTTCAGCTATGGTTAATTGCTGCCTTTTTGTTCAGTTGCATCTTCTTGTAAAAGTGATGCTTATCGCCGTCGTTGCTATCATTGGTGGGTGCATAACACTGGATAAAATTCATCGTGGTTCCCTCATTCCTTGTTTTGAAGTATGCTTTGATGATTGTGGATCCATCGAGATTCCTATCTTGTGAGTTCATTATGTGCTTCTATGAACAGCATCGGAGCAACTTTCTGAGTGTGCGGTGCATTTTCCTCTTCGTGACCAGATTAGAGCAACATCTTACCCTTATCTAGCCTTTTGGTGTTTTGTTTGATTACAATGGGCCTCACTTATTCCGAGCAGTGTCAAGATGTGGTTGTTATAAAGGGCATCGGACTAGTGGCTTCAGAAAAATCTGGGCATTCACCATGAGTTGTCATAATTCTTCTGAATGAAGATGCTTGAACTCGGAGGAACAAGTTGAAATAATTTAAATTGTGTTTTGTGGTTAGTGTTGTTTCAGCAAGATTGTTTCATGTGGGATCGGAATTCTGACCCGATACCCAATCTTCCTCCTTTGTATGGGCTTGGGACAGGCAGTAACGCTGGAAGAGCTTCAGGTGTTTTTTCTCCGTATCTAGTTACCTAATAATTTCTGGTGTGAATTTCCTTTTCCATTAGTTTCGCATAAAAAATTCTTTACAAACTTTACAACTGATTTTAACACATAATATTTACTAATTATTCTTAGTGCTGACAAAATTCTGTTAACCACTTTGTGAAATGGCTAGAAGTCAAACTGATTGATCCAATATTTCACCCCACCTTTGTTGTGCAATTAGCTGGTTGCAGATAATCGACTGGCAACATTAAAGCTAAGTTTCTTGGCACTTATCAAACATTTGTCGTACAGATGTTATTAATCTCAGACCTCGTATATTAGTGATAACTCCCTGACTGAGGTACACTGACTCTCATTCTTGAAAATCATCTGACAGTTGGTTGAATTTAGTCCCGTGAAGCTCATCATCTTTGTTTTAGACGATGAGAATTCAGCATTTGAACTTTCTGGTTTAGGGAATACAATCTCACTAAAAGCATTCACCAGTGCTGAATACCTTTTTCCCTACCCTTATTTATGATCTTACAGATATGTATATCCATTGTTTGGAAGTGGAGCCCCAGTTATGACACTTCCACCGATTGCCGTAGCCAGAAATCAAGAGGTTATTCTTCCGCATGGGTTTTGTGCTTTCGAGTTTGCTGCATCGCCTGAAGAAGTAAGATTTGTTTTAATGAAGAAATAATTGTATTTTGGTTTACCAAGCTGGTTTGAGTTATACGTGTCTATCTTCGTAAAATTTCCACCTAGTATTTGACAAGACATCTTTCTAGAGTATATTTTATCATAGGGTTTTCGAACCACTGTACTTTATTCAATCCTGTGGTAAATTATTTAAAATGAAACGAGAAGGTAAAGAAAACATCAGAGTAATCTCTTGAGTTTTATTTACCCTTCGAATCCATATACAGGACTGATACTGAGGTTTTTATTTAGTAATGGAAATCATGCAGCATATTTCACATTTCTAGGGACCCATCAGTTGTATGTAGTTGTTGCACAGCAGACTGAATTAGTTGTTTTTTTCCGGTAGAGATGATCATTTACTTATAATCCCGATGATGTTTAGTCAACAGCTACATGAAACACTCATGAATGTTTTTAGGTAATGTTTAAGTCTGAAACCAACTTCGATATTTCTTGTGCTAAGTAGATGGAATTGTATAAATCTGTTAAGCTGAAGTGTTGTAGCCAAGGCTTACTGGTAGCAGAACAATTATTTAAAGCAAGTTTTTTAATAACCATATAAGACTTCATTTATTTCTTCTTATTGCTCTAGAAGGTCGCAATTTCATTCTACGGTTGCTTTAAGGCTTTCAAAAGAAACTACTGTCAGAAACCGTCTGCGTTAGATTAAGATGTCACTTATTTGTGACAGACCAGTTTCCGAAAGATTTCGTAATTTGGAGCTACAAATAAATTCATTCAAACTTAATCAGTTCGTAAAACTAACTCGCTTAAGAATTACCTCCTTAAACAGCTCAGTGTTATGTATGTCAGCATTAGATATAGAATGTAAAACAAATCTCATTAATCCGCATAGTATTACCAGGACAAGTACTAGGAATAGTGAGTTGTTATACAATTTAACCAAAATTTCATAGTCTGTAGAACAGAGCTCAATTAATTTGCACATTCAGTAATGATAAGGAAGTTATATAAAGAACCACCAGTGTAGAGTAAAACTTACGAAGTGATTTTATAGAGCAAAAGTAACCCATACCTTTTAATGAGATCATGACAAACTTCATTGTCAGCAGATTATTTCCCAATTAATTTTACTCGAGCGGTTCATCATCACCATAGTCAGTCATTGTCAAGGAAGAACAAAATATTGATCCTAATATGAGAGTGTTTTTTATGTGCAAATGTTAGTTGATAAAATAACTAAGTTGACTTGTCTGGAAACGTGTATGAATAATTATATGCTCAAGATAAAATGCCAAACAGCATGGCAAAATACTTTTAATTACTTCAACCTTTTGAAATTAGTAAGGTTGGGACTAAATGTTAAGCACTGATCCTAACAGTCATTATAATTTGAAGGATTTATTTGACAACACAAACTTATAAAGTGACTAATTACCCTTAATGTTAGTAGTCTTCTGTCAAGTAAATACAGTTAATTCACATTGCAGTTCATATTTATGTGTGACCGGAAAGTTGTAAATAGTGCTCACATAATCTTATCGGGATTATGATGACTTCAGAATAATCTTAGACAATTACGTTTTCAATGGTTAGAACGGAAATTCAGTCAATGTATATTATTGATTGGTGGAACTAACGTAGCAGCTCCTTCACTGTTACACGACTACATGATTTATTCTGAGTTTTAGACAGATAAATTAATCTGATTTTTTGGCGTCATTATGTACACATGTATTCGCCATTGTCAATTATACACTGGCTACCTCGGTTGTTTTTTATGGGTGTATGCGTGAGCGTGTGTGTGTGTCTATCATTTATTCCGTTCTCCTGTTTGTCTGACTAAAAATATGGAGTCACGTTTGGTTAAATTGAGTTGGTTATATACGTTTTATTTATCATCGATGACCGAGGACAAATGAATTAAGTAGGAACTAGAATAAGTGTTCCTGAATATATATTTCAGTAATTGCATTCACTGAGGTGTACAGTAGTAATAAACTATCAAAATGTAATTGGATTGAATGGAAACAGATGGACTGAAATAATATTAGTATTGTAAAAACACCAGAAATAAGCCTCTTTGTAACTGAATTGAATTTATATTGTTACTGGCACTGAAAGTTGATAGGAATTATATTATAATAGAAATAATACTGGCAAGAATAACCAGCAATTAATTGTATTGTAGTAAAATAAATCCAGAGCTGGATTAGACTGGTCTAATCTTCATTGTATTGAAATGAATACGAACTTTCCAAAGTGTCAATTAATAAGCATGTCTTAAGCATTTATATACCAATATAGTGATGGAATATGATGAACAAATAAATGGTTGGGTAACCAAACAAAGGAAGATTTTTAGTGGCCCGTTGATCTGATTCCGATTCCAAAGAATAAATATACTGTGAATATAAACCCTCTATTCGATTTCGTATATTACGCCTAGGTTAACCCCGTTAAGAAGAAGCCAAATACAAGTCGAGTTGGATGATTTACTTCATACACTCGTTTACCCAAACAGATATCAAAAATGAGAAAGCAGAAGGCAAATGTTTCAACTCTCTTTTGTAGGGCGTAACTCAACTATAGCCAGAAAAATATAAGCTTGATATGTGTGAATTGGATAAGTGACATACACACATACTCTCATATAAAAATAGTCAAGGTTAATAAGCTAGTGATTGACAAGGTTAAAATGTGACTGAAGAAAAGTAAATAACTTGGTCTGTTCAGAAGCTAAAGTAACACATATGGGTTTGACATGGTACTAGATATAATAGATTCACGTATTAGGCATTCGAATTATTCACACAATCGGGAACAAATTAACCAAAAGAATTGAATTAATTCACTTGACAGTCATATGCTCATTCACATATCGTATTCTAAATTGAATATACAATTATGTTCATTTAACATGTCTATTATTAAATACCATAGTTGGCTATTTCTGTTGCTTGTAATTTCACTTCATCTCTTATTGCCGCCTACATTATCGAATGTCTAAAATAGACATTGTTCAAATAATTTCATTTTCGACTTTGTTTTATTTACGTTGTTATTATGGAGATAATATTAAGTCGAATAGGAGATACATTTTATTAACGTTATTCAACTGTTATGAAGTCAAATATAAACGTATGACTACATCAAGTTGTTAATCTATTTATGTATTTTTTTTAATAAAAATAAACCATATACTCATTTCTATTTACAGACCTATTGAAATAGTGTTTTTTTTAAAAATTTTTAATACTACAATCTTAGTTAAAAACTCGTCTTAATGACAATCCATTGAAAGTGGAATTTTTCGATCGATCACAAGGTACTTTAGCAACAGATTCCTTCATTGGATATTCCCTTATACCTTTAGTATCAGTCTTTGAATCATCAATTGTTAAAGGTTAGAATTTAATTTAAAACTTTGTTTAACTATATTTTTGTTATTGTCGCTGTTAATCACTACATCACATATTGAATTAAAAAGATCATTAGAATTATTATATAATATTAACATGATAATAGTTATGATTCAAGCATCCTAAAGATTATCTACAATTCCCTGATAGGTCCTGGGTTCGAGTCTCGCGGGGTGCGGGATCGTGGATGCCCACTGCTGAGGAGTCCCGTACTAGGGCGAAACGGCCGTCCAGTGCTTCCAGGTTTTCCATGGTGGTCTAGCTTCAATTGACTCATGATCTCAATCTGTAAAATGCCCTATTGATTAATGTGATCATAATTTTCATGTGTAAATTATATTTAAATGGAAAAGATAACTTAATAACCCTCTTACTTTTAAATAATGGTATTTTTTGTTTTCAAATTGCTTAAAACATATTAATAGTTTATCAATAGTGATTATTACTTTAGATGACGAGTAAACGGTTAGTTTCTGGTTTCTTAAGTTTAATTTTCTTAATGAAATACTTTTTCTAAATTAAAACTATGTTGTTAAGTAGAAGACTTAGTAAACTAAATTTTATCTTTTTTAGATTACTGTACTGAACTTTTCTTAGTGTATTATTCATTTTAACAATTGGTCGGTGGCTGGCACTGAAATCTTATTTGGAATTTTTCAATCGGATGTGCCTGTATGCAATAGTTAATGTTGTAGTATTTCTCGAAGTTTCAGCTCCGTACAGTAGAAGTGTCTTGACGTTCGTATTGAAGATTCTCACTTTGATGTTGGTCTACAGATAGTTGTTTTGGGTTCCATATGCTATCCAACTGTAGGAATGCTGCTTGTGCTTTGCCATCCGTTTCTTTCCATCTGCACCGAATCATCCTTGTTGATCAATAATGCCATGCAGAGCTTCTCTGTCAAGTGTGACTGAGTTGGTGCTCTCAATGTTGTGTTTAATGATTCTGCTTTTTCCTTTGTCTACATTGAGGCCTACTGATGCAAACACGGCTGGTTCACTGGATATCTTCATCTGGATTCGTTGGTGTTTATGAGATAGAAGGGCTAGTTTAATTGTGAAGTTCAAATCGTCTAGTTTGTATTCAAGCTGTCCATTGTTATCCGTGCATCTCCTCAGATGTGGAGGTCTCTGTGATCCAGTCAACCACCAGAAAAAAGGAAAAGGTAGAGTGTAAGCAGCGTTGTCTGACTCCGGTCCTCACTTGAAATGTGTCTGTGAGCTGTCTTCCATGCGCGACTTTGCAGTGTAGTCTGTCGTATGGATTCTGTATGCTATTGACGATTCTCTCAGCTACTCATACCAAAATGTCGAAGAATGTCCCATAAGGTTCTCCTATCCACACTGTAAAATGCTTTCTCAGAGTGAAGGGACTTTATGTATGATGACCATTTTGTTGAATGCACAGAAATTTGCAAATCTTCCTCCATTCTCGTTTCTTTCTCTAAGTAAATATCGTCCCATGGTATCTTCACATGTGATGTCGTCCATTTCAACTTGGCACTTAGGTCCCTTCCTGGACGCTTAACTATAATCGATTTAAGCCTCTCGTAAAACTGATGTTTATCGCCGTCGTTGCTATCATTGGTGGGTGCATAACACTGGATAAAATTCATCGTGGTTCCCTCATTCCTTGTTTTGAAGTATGCTTTGATGATTGGGGATCCATCGAGATTCCCATCTTGTGAGTTCATTATGTGCTTCTACGAACAGTATCAGAGCAACTTTGTGAGTGTGTGATGCATTCTCCTCTTCGTTACCAGATTAGAGCAACATCTTACCCTTATCTAGCCTTTTGGTGTTTTGTTTGATTCCAATGGGCTTCACTTATTCCGAGCAGTGTCAAGTTGTATCTCCTCATTTCCATAGGTATTTGATTGGTCCTCCAGATCTCCCACATTGTTTGGACATTCCATGTACCTATTTTGATTGTTGCTCTGGATTTTAGAAGGGCCCTCGGCTTCGTGACTTACAAAGAATTTGGGCGTTTACCATGAGTTGTCATAATTCTTCTGAATGAAGATGCTTCAACTCGGTGGATAGAGTTGAAATAATTTTAATTTTGTTTTCTTTGTTAGTGTTGTTTCAGCAAGATTGTTTCATATGGGATCGGGTTTTTGACCCGATACCCAATCTTCCTCCTTTGTGTGGGCTTGGGACCGGCAGTAATTCTGGAAGAGTTACTAGTGGAGCTATTGTTGATATTCAGGACTGCAATTATTCAGTCTTGGTGGCTATATTTACTTTTTGATGGTTTTGCTTCAATACATTGTTATGTTTAATATGTGACAACACAAATCCGTCTTAAAAATTGAAAAACATCTCATTCCTTCGCAGGTTATTTATCACATATTTCGTGTGTTAGTGATAACTCCCTCTCTGACTGAGACTTAGGATTGAACGCTTGTCCTTCATTCTACTACTGGCTGCATACCATATACACTAAGAATTCTAACCCAACAGTAGCCGAATAAACTCGAGTAATGATAACAACAAAATAATGTCGAGACCCAAAATAGTTCATATTAGTCATCCCAAAAGTAACGATTTAATTTTATATGACAAACAACAATTCTTGATTCACATATCACAATTTTAAATGATGTACTCTGCCTTGAATCTGGCCAGTTTTATGGATGATTAATTTAGATTTATAATTGTAGAACTTGAGAAATATTGAAAAGAATATTCTTCCTTCTTATAATTGTGTTTTAATATCAAGATATTCTACGACCAATGCCATAATTCTTCTTATTTCACCGCTACTCTCTTTTACATAGGCTGTAAACACAAATTCACATGAGGGTATTGACTTGTTTGGTATAGGTCCCACGTTGATTTTCATTTTCGACATATTGTTTCCATTTTAAAATATAACCTACTCGAGTTCTGATACGCTTTAAGTTATCCTCACATCTTATGTGTCATATTATTAATAAGATGTACAATTTCAATATTGAATTGAACAGTTTTCATTATTTTTGGTTTATTCCAGCCACAAAAGAATCGTCTACTTTAGTCAGACGTATAAATGATAGTGTTGACATGTTAGCTGAACAAAGCAATACAAATGAATTAAAAGTTGTTGGACAACTTGTCTATTCATTACAGTTAGAAGATTTCGGTGCACATAATGTAGATAGTAATGCATCTGTATTGGATATGACAAAGGGATTAGTTCATCAAATAAATGATGAAATCAAGGTAAGTGATGCATACTTTTCTTTAAACTTGTAACTCAATAGTAAAATGATTTATCACTTTCTAAAGTTTGAAAAATTTCGAGATTGTCTTCATAGCTTCAGCAGTGAAATTGACTGAGAGAATATCAAAGATATAAAAATGCAGGACAGTTGTTTTGACGTGATTTTTGCACTTAATTAATGGGTTGTAATTGAATCAATGCATAGATCAGTAACATTATCTTCTATAAAATGTTAACTAAGATTCCTTCCACTGATCAAAGAATAATAATATGAAAGTACTTGACTTATTACAAAAAATCTTTAACTGTTTGTTAGTAAGGAGTATAAATTAGACTAATTTTTTCATGATATGTTTCTTCGGTAGTTGTTAGTATTTCTTTGATATGGTTCAGAACCCGTTTCAATGAAGCAGATGTATTGACTCACTGTCTTCCCTTAATTGTTGTGTTTTGAAGTCATCTTAAACATTTTATTAAGCAAATTCATTCTTCTCGAATCATACTGTCTATGCTTAGTCTTTCTTTTACCACTTAAGAAACTGTTACTATTAGTAATCCAATGTTTACCTTGATAATTTTATCTCGTTGTGGTGATATGGTCTAGCAACTTGAACCGATGTACGTATTTCCTAAGTTTTAGATTACATGTGACTAGGTAAACAATTTTTCTATTATACCTACTTTGTGGTCAATCCCATAAATAGTTCAAATTAAAATGTTACCACCAGTGAAGTGCTACTACTGTTTTGCAAGTTCGTGTAAAAAACATCCCTGTTGAGCACATCATATGTTGTCGTGTCTGCTACAGCCAAAGAATCTACAGTCCACTTTTGCCTGTAAGGTTCTGCACCCTCTAGACAAAAAATGATTAGTGATAAGTTCAATAATTCGGGTGTTTCCTAATTCTTTATCTTGATCGAATCCTATCAATTTCAAGTCATATAGCAACTGACTATAAGTGATGACCATTAATTCTCGTATATTATGATTGTTTGAAACCCTTATTGTCTGACTTCGATTATTATAAACGTTATTCAGTCTTTTCAGATATATAGAACCCTAATCTCGTCCTCTACCTGATGTTGTAGAAAACGTATATCAGCAATAAACGCAAAGAAATAAATTAATACACTGAATAGGAAATTAAATTTACTTATATTATTATCTCTTGCTTTCATATCATCCAAATATGTGTGATGACAACAACTATGCTACTTACAACAGTCTGAACCATCAGATATACGATCAACCCGTGAATATCAAGTGGCTATTGAGTTGGAACTGTGGCGTGCAGCAGAAGAAGCCAAATTTACTGCTCAATTAAAGAAACGAGAACAGACACTGATGGCTACACTTGCTGAAGAATGGCATAAAAGAGATAGTCAACGCGAAATTATATGTCGTAAAAAGGTAGGTTTCTAGTCATTTCTATCGGTACATAGCATTTACTGGAGAGAATCATGATCCGGTATACTAAAGTTCTTTTAATAGTAGCTAATCAATAAGTATGAAGATGCCACAAGTACGTGGAGTCTGACAACACCTTCTATAATCTAAGCGTCCCCACACAGTGAAATCAGGAGTCAGAAGCGTAGAGGTTCGAAGAAATATTTGATAGGCTATCAATATATCGAGAAGTGACTGATCTAAACTGTCTAGCGGTTGTAGAAGTTGAGCAAAGCGTTCCCACTCGTAATCTGGTACGGATGCGTGGCCGAGAGCCTTCAGCTAGGTGAGTTCATAACAACTAATGTGGTCAGCATCAAATGTCGAAGACTTACAGAGCTATTGATTTCGGGGATTTATTTATCGCTACAAGTGCTTCCACTTTATAACCTTGCAAGGCTGCTATTGAATGCTATAAACTCTACCTATAATTGGGTTACAAACTTATACATAACTCTCAACGCCTGATTATAGTGGTAATTCTTGATACGCTGATATAGTGAGTTGATCAGAAGTAGCCAAATGAGGTCAACTGATGATAATCACAAATGAGCTGAAGGACAAATGCATATGATTGGCTAAGAAATGGACTCATTTTCTATGGGTTAGAATTATGTATATGAACATTTAGCATGTTAGTCGGTATTTCACTTGAACTGGTGTATGTACGTACGAAGTCCTACTTTGTTGCTGACTGACTGTTCGGTGTTTCAATAGATTTACTCACTCGCTCAATAGTCAATTTTGGGGGTTAGCGCTTAGCATGTTGTATTCTAGTATCAGATCACGGACACCCACATAATAATTAAAGGTATCATTCAACTACGAAGATGGGGGCGATCGGTCAAAATTGTTTGTTATTAAAACCTGTACTGAATAAGTACATAAACTTCGTGAAGACTAACAATGTTGACGAAGCCAGATTTAATAGTGAAATTCTATTTGGATTAGGAATATTGGATGGTGATTGTCAATGTTACTCACTGTCACCGTATCTGAAAAAGCTTATTATAGACATACTCTCAGGAATAACGTTTTTTCAATCTAAATTGTGAAGGTTCGATGTTTTACCAGGTCATTCACCTATCGATGTGGAATATGCAGATGACTTTGTTCTGCCTAATGAAGATAAAATGCAGTTTTTGATCTCATTGATAAACAAGACAAACCTGTCTGGTATTCTTCTCCCTCCTTTTAAATTCGAAATGACTGGTCTGCATCAATCCCTAGTGTTATAATGTTGCGTTAATCATGCTCAATAATCCGACTGTTAGATAAAGGATCAGAAATAGATCTAAACGAAAATTTATTACAAGATACAAAGGGCAGAAAAATAAATTAAAATATGAATATTTACTTGTATAAGACGCGTTTATCTGCATTCTGACAAATCACCGGATTGAAATATCGCATAGTCTAGATATAGGAAGAGGGATAATTGAGTACAGTGATCCATTACTTATTTTGGAAGTCTCGTTAACCTTAGCGAATTGGTGTCTAATGAGACTTCGACACGGATGTCGAAAGTCCGCTTGACATATGTGTTTGCTGAACAACAGACGAGACATAGGTGGTAAAACTGAGACTTGATACCAGTCCATGTCATGTTGTTAGATGTAGACTACTTGACCGTAGTCCATGCGGTAGCTGCGACCAGTCGTTGGTTAGCATGGCTCAGAAGGGATCACAGGCGCGCAGATGCACCCATATTTAATTTCCTCTTAAGTTTTGAGTAATATTTTGTGCTTTCGATTCTCCTTTTTCTTAGAACCATATTATTATAATATAATTTTCACTATAATTGATAATACTGTTATTTCGACCCAGTACTTATTCATAAAGCTGTACCTAAGACCTAGGCTAGGACACAATTGATCATGACTGATTACGAAAAATGAATACAACACTTATGGTACGTTTTTATTACCCACAGCCCCTTATGATAATTGGTGTTTTACAACACTAATTATTAAATTCTTTTAATGAAAAAATACTTCTAAATAATATCAATGTCAAGGATAAGGCAGTCCATCATGATTGAAATTTTGTTACAACAAAGAACATTAAGTGACGACTGAATCAATGAGTAAGAATATCGTAAGAACGACCTAGCTTCATTCCATTCAATTACGACTGATAGAAACATAGGGAGGTTAGAATGTAGCACAATTTAATTGTTTTCAGTTTACCAAATTAGTTAACGTATACTATTGTACATGTTTTAGTCCTAAAATTCTAACTAAGGATATTAGGAATATAATTGTCCGACCAAATGAAACACAATCCAACCTATGAGAGTTAATGTAGCTCACCATAAAACATGTTAGCCACATAAGTTCCTTACAATACAAGCTGGTTTGTCGCAATTAAGTAAACGAATTGATTCAACACAAAATTTAGAATAAGATTTACCTCTTTACCACATTCATAGACCAATGGTTTTCTATATCTTCTGGTCGTGCATAATGGGTCGGTGAATCCCCGTTGACCAAATCTAACAAATTACCGCCTACTCCGAAGAGCTACCTAAACTAACATAGGGGTACGTTGGGGAAACAAAAGACCTAGATATCGCATTGCTCCACATAGTATTAATTTCTGCTGTCAGGAGCTTCAAATCATAAATAAAGTAATACACTAACCTCCCTCAGAGCTATCAATGTTAATATTACTCCTAATTTTCCACTATTGATATTACTATTTAAGACTACTTTTCATGCGGTTGGTTTCTTTTTGTGGTGACGCAGACCGTGACATCTTTAGTCGATATTTGTCTCAAAACCTATATTATTTATGATTGACTGATACGACGGAGACTATTCCTAGGTATAATGCAATATAAATGCTATGTCTCTTCATCAGTTCTTTTGCATAAATGAGATAAGAATTTAATTTACTCTTCATCTCACTCTACGTAAATTTAGCTTTCTGAATATCAAGCTCTGGAGGAAAAATTGCGCAATACACTCATTGAACTTGCTACTAGAGAGCGTCAGCTAACCGCAGGTGAGGCAGAATTGGTACGCCTGAAACAAGAAAATGCAAGGGAATTGGAAGTTAGACGCAAAGAATTGAATCAACAGTCTCAAGTTCAGATTCGTGATCTAGAAAGTCAGATGAAATTGGAGAAAAAAAACTCTGAGCATTGGAAGTCACAAGTAAATTTAGTGATATTCCTCCCTTATAAACTGTGATTTTCTTACTGTTGGCTTTGAATCCAATTTACAGATATACTCTATATAATTATAAACATTGCACTTCTATCTCATTTACAGATAGCTGAATGGCGAAGTAAGTATGCTTCTCTGGAGGAAGAGAATAACAGTCTAAGAAATGAAATAAACGGCAGATTGAAAAAGTCGGTAGATAACAAAGCGTCTAACGAAACACCTTCAATAAACAATGAAGTAGCCCGACTGACTGCAGAATTAGCAGTTGCTCGGGCTACACTATCCGAAACAGAATGCCGTTTAGTTGAAGTAGAACGTGGTCGAGCAAGATATCGTCAGTTATGGACGAAATCTCTGCATGAACTAGCCAAGGTAAAACAAGAAGCAGATGAAGCTACTCGAATTTCACTGGCACAAAAAGAAGCAGAACTTGAACAACTAAAGTCTTACTACTTAAATGTTGATGAAAAACGACCAACTAGCCAAGATTTAAAAGAACCGACAGATGGTAACTTGGAACGGTAAGTGAATATTTGGAATGTCTATTAATCAAGTTGGCTTACGCAGTACTACATGAGGAGTGTCCCCTGCTTTTAGAAGAATTTTAATGTAATTTATAGACTAATAGAAAATAATTTTTAAATGTACCACTTTAAACAGATGAATTGAAGAAGAGAATTTTTCCTTTGATCATAGCATTTGCTAAAACCGTACAATCGTACTTAATAAGTATAAGAATTAAAGATAAAGTAACACAGTTAAGATTTTCGTCACTGGATTGATTGCCAAACACAATAAATAACTGTTAAGCTATACCAAATGATATAGCCGAAGATGAAGTCCTCGACGCTAAAATTATCTTGGATTGCTTTTCAATATGTTAGTAGATGATGCCCAGTTTTACCTAATACGCTCTACCTCACTAACTATTCTTCTGAAACATATTCGCGACTAAACTCATCAGTTATTTAGCCATCTTCTTAGAGTTGACGCTTCAGTTTTGTTTATATTTCTCCTTCTGAAATCATACATGCACATATATTTCCTATGCTGAATATGCTTTCCAGTGATTTTCAGCGTTTTGTAACATCTAAATGTAACATTTGGTGAACTGTGAAGCGCCATTAGACCAGTTAGGACAATCGCGATAATTTCAATGTTTTTTCCCACAGGACTGAAAGTCTGTATACATACACTCATATTGTTTGCAGTTGTACTACTAAGTAATCGCTTACAGCGTAACAACCATCAAACATTGAACGATAGGACGTAAATAATTAATACGGATTTTTAGTGTTTGACGTAAAACAGAGGGGTTATTCGCATAAACGTGGGGCAAAATAAATGCGTTAGAATTTGAACGTAATCACAAACTAAATTGGTGTACAACTGTAATCAGTTGTTCAATATTAGCCAAACAAAATTTTCAACAGGAGTTATTAATTTTATTTTAATCCTTTGCTTCCATGTTTCGTACGGATTCGGATGATTAATACACAATAAGTGGACAGCAAATATTTGTAGGATTGATTGACAGGATACAGATAAATACTTTCACGAATATACTGAAATGAGTGACGGTTTGAAAATTTTGAGCAATATCTTGAGTTAGGATAAAACACTGAATGTATTGATACGTAGTTTGGATGGGGTCGTTCTGTTATTGATCATGGTTCACAATACATCCACAAAGTGATTAAATGGAAATAGATTCTCAAAGCAATACTAACATCCCAGTACTTCTCCTAGTTATTTATATGTGTAAAGAGGAAGAAGAGTGTAATAGTTATACGCAACATTAAGGTTTGTTACAGAGGTCCAGGAGTTTACCGTTTGATTTTTTTAAAAGTGCATAAATTCTGTTTACTTTCGTTCTAGGTGATTGGTTTTTTTGAAAAAATGTGAACTATATCGCATTTCCCACTGCTGTTTTTCTTGACCGACGCTCCACATATTATCTTTCTTTTATAGGTGCACCAACCTCAAAATTTACTTCCAGATATGATTTTATTACAGTAGCTATATATTTTGATTTTTAGATCCAAAATGAATGAAGAAATGACTACTGAAATAAACGTTTCTGACGTAAAGTCTGTGGTGGATGAGAAAATAGAAGCACAAATTACTCGGCTGATTGAAGAACGTGACGGTCTACTAAATACTGGTGTTTACGAAAATAGTGATTCTTTAATTGTTGATCTTGATCGACAAATCAGATACCTTTTAGGGAAAATATAATTCCATTTATTTGCTTTTTAATAAATACAAAGCTACTTGTAGTCAAACAAGTTGTGTGAAAAAACTCAAGCAAGCATCCTCATAACCAATGAAGAGTTTATTAAGTTACTAAAGGATGGACTTATTCCGTTTGTAAATATGTATGATAGATCTAGTTTGCACTTTACACACAGATATGACGAGTTATGATCGACATGCCAGACCTCACTCCACATATAATGAGCTACTAGCAGTTGCCTCCTTTCAATAAAAGATGTGCGTATAATCGACGGATGTCATATCTCAGATCATATGAACTTGTGGAATAAGCAGTTAGAAATACTCCTGTGAAAGGTAATATCCCGCATGGTTATATAGCAATGCTACCCGGTGCTGGAGATGGTTGGAAAAAAGTTAGGGGCGGCCAAACCAAAACGTGGCATCAGTGCTTAAAGTCACTAACTTCTAATCTGAGCCATGTTGTTAGATGCAGACTACTTGGTTGCGGTCCACGTGACTATCGTAACCAATAGTTGGAGACATGGCTCAGAATCGATCACATTGGCGTAGGCGTATACGCTCTATGTCTTCCCTTAAACTAAGAGATTAAAATCGCTTCATATCTTTCTTTCTACGAACCAATTCTTTCTTCCTGTAAAATATCCTTATTGCAATCTTTCTTTTATATATTACCACCTCTGAATTAACTACTTTTATGGCATAGGAGTAGGTTGGAAGAAAGCTAGTGGCGGCCAGACCAAAACATGACACAAGTCCATGAAGTCACTGACAAGTGGTCTGAGCCATGTTTGTAGGTGTAGACCGCGAGATAATGGCAACCGATGGTTAGAGACGCTGAATGACATGGCTCAAAATCGTTTGCAATAGCGCAGGTGCATACACTCTTTGTGTTCTCCCAAAATTCGATCTTATTCCTCCTTGTCTCTTTTTTTCTCTTCCGAAATTTATTTCACTGTATTATACTCCTTAAATAACATCTCCAAACACTGATCTTCCCGATTACTGTTTATACTCTTATTACCTCTACCACTACGGGATTCGAGTCGACCATTGCATCTCTGTGCTAATGTGGTGTGGCAACTCGAACTGATGTACGTACGTACGAAGTTCTACGTTGTTACTGACTTTTATGAATCCGGTATCCATCTTGTTGTGTTAATGAGGCATGGCAACTTGGACTGGTGCATATATGTGCCTGGTCCTACGTTGTAGCTGACTGACTGCATGGTTATACTATGGTTCGAGCATTAGGTCAGATTGGTAGTCAGTGATTATGTCGAAAACAAAGTAAGAGGCACCTCAAAAACACTTGATGTTAAAGCATGGTTTGCGTGCCTTAACAGCCTTAGGACTTCAAAGGACAGAAAAGAATCCTGAGGAAGTTGAACAGTCGCCTAAGATGTCCAAAACATTACAATTCATAAGTAACTTCATCAAACAGCCGTGATCATTTACCCTTAGTTGGGTGTGAAGTAGGCTGTTGTGTAGTTATACAAATAGATACCTTATTCACCAAGCGTAAAGAACGATGCACGACAGTCCTGGTTCATAGCTTTCCATAAGCCTCAATATAACTCAGTATCTAGGGGAACCTCCAGGAATTTGTTGTAATTGCTCATTAGGCTTTTCAGTTGACGTTGGCCGGCGACAAGACAAATATTCGGACCGGTGGAGCTTGATAGCTTTCCCAATTTTTCTTTATACACCTTCAAATTAAGCACAGGACTTCTATAGATTCTGAGCTCTTGTAACTTGAACCCGTACTTACTTTGAGACAGATGAGCATTCCACTTCACCTAGCTTTGCTGCAATATGATTTTCTACAAGCCCAAACCGAGTTCGTTACTTATCAGTACAATGTTATGATTATTGAACATTATTAGAATTATCAAGTGAAAACTATCACGTGGTCAGTAGCTTAAAGTGGCGATCTTCGGGGTTCTAATGTGAAGCTGGGACTAGTGTTGTCAAATAATTACCCACCGAAGACAATGGATGGTCGCGCAATATCGCGGACTGATTGAAGTTAAGCATCAGAACGATTAAATGCCGGAAGAGCGGTCTAGAGGTTAAGCGTTCGCACACGAGAGCAGAGGTCTTGGTTTTGATTCCTACGGGTGGAGTCATGGATATGCACTGAGGTGCCACCTACTAGGGCAAAACGGCCGTCCAATGCTCCCAGGTTTTTAATGGTAGTCAATCACTGGTCGCTGTGTGATTTCAACGAATTCGTCAGCTTATATTTGCAACTAAGCAATTCCCCGTCATGATTTATGAGACTGATAACCATCAATTTGAAAGTACCCGTAAGTGTTCTTACTATTCATTTGCGAATACTTCAATGTCCAGGAATTCTTACTTCTTTTATTGTGGAGAAAAGCGACAAACGGTCCTCACCCTCGAAAAACTATTCCCGAACTTAGTTTACAATAATGGGAACATCACAATTAGGAGAAAATGTTAAGACAACAATATCGAGGTAATTACTTAAAACAAAGGGTCTACAATATACCTGTTATGGGTGAACGAAATCGAATTCGGTGGTTCAGAGAAAAGCATAGGCGAGTGATGCTGACTCATTCGACAAGCAACGGTTTGGATATTTGGGGTGAAATACATCTAGCTGAAAAGCTCTCAAGAACTGTACGAAAATTGCACGCCAGAATGCGAAATGAATAAATGGAAGTGCTGACAATAGTCGACAGCGTCAATGCTTAGTAACTGTAATGTGACTGAGCTGTATAATCCATCCACAGCGTGGGAGGCTTCATTATTTTGCTTAACACTAACACAACGTAACATGATCAAAGTGAGCTGATACAGTATAGAGACATTGTAACTAGTTCTCGAAGTGACTTATGCAACCCAACTATAAATGCCTTGACGCGGTGGTCGGGCTTTCCTATCGTGATGACCCAACCGAGCTATATTGGCTGGAACATATGTTCCTGTAGGTTCTACCATGCCAGGCAGGTCGATTGGAGGACGGTAAGACTAAAAGCAGCAACTCAAGGTCTGAGGGCGAAGTCGTACTGCTGAATGTACAGAGGTGTGACAGCAGTAAGGTGTTTCCCTCAGACAACCAGCATCTACAGTGATGCTGTCTTCCCACAAGGAGGGGTGGGGTTAGAAAAGGTCGACCCTAAAAATGTCACACCTTACGGATTTCCGTCTCCGGTGGTAAGGCCCTTTGGAGAACGGAGCTAACACGTTAGAAACCTCTCGCAAAAAGGCCGTGCGCGACCGGCCTCAAGCAGTTGTCCCTTGGGCTCTGCGGTCACGCTCCCAGGTCGTTAAGACCAACACTAATCCAGTTTCCTTTTCAGGCTCCTCAAGAAATACCCTTCCACGGTGTGGGCAGCCGGGAAGTGATATTAGCCCTCGTACCCGTAACAGCACACGAGACCAAGTTGGTCACATTCAAACCCCAACTGACTGACATTTCAAAAGGATTTGATAAAATTATAGCACCTAATGCTCCCAAACAAAAACGACCGACTAACTACTTCTCAGACGGTGAATGAATGAAAGGCAACGGCTATCAAAATATTGGGTCAAGAATGGAATTAGAGATTGAATTGTACAGCGAACGAAATTGCGTATAATGATAATAAATCAGCACATAGTTATAGCTGTGTAAAACTAAACTAGGTAACAATTCATTTATTAGGCACGCGTTCCGCCAGCTGGTCATAATCTACATGTGCTTTCGATCTCAGATGATATTCTACAAGTCGCAAGGAAAGAAGCTTATTTACGACACTTAGTTACATAACTGTGGATGACCATGTTTCCGATGCGTGGTGAAGATACAGGAAACTTTCAAGAGTTTCAGAAATCGTTGTATTACTTTTTATATCACAATGAACTACATACTTCAATTATGCTACATCATTTGTTTATTCAGCTAGAAAGCCTCTCTAAAAAATAATATTAACGTAATTGTGCTACCTCATAAAATGCAACCTCTTCATCTGTTATCCTTTTCCTCCGAAACTTCGGGTTAATAAGAGAGGCTTCTACTGCCAACTCTGGAGGCACTGATGATTTCACAACAAAAGTTGAGTTGATGCGAGTTTGTGAATCCACAGAATTTCTCGAACTTGAAGAGAACATATGTTAGTCGTATAAATTACATGTTTATGGAGTTTTTCAATTGACTGCGGAACTTTATTAGTGGCACATGTTTCTTAACCTAAGGGACAGCTATAATAGTTACATTTATCTCACCAGGACAGTTAGACTAGACATTTTCAAGTGACCGCGTGTTTTTGAAATGGGCAGTGCCAACGTACGTGTTGTGAATTAACTTTGTTGTATTATATTTATTGCCTCAAAAGCATACTTGATTTACTTCAACGTGAGTTATTTTGGCTATGGTATAAAGTTTCCTTCTATCCGTTTTGTGCTGAACTACACCCTAAAGTCTTGAGAATAAGTGTGCAATATATTGCCCCAATTAGATTCAGATTCAGATTGCCCCAATTAGTCTTCAGTCTTCAGTAATAAGGATAATAGGTTGATGAACCTGTGTTAATCCTGACACATTGCTTTCCAGTGAAGGTCCAGCTTCTTCTTGAAAGTATTCACTGATGGGGCTGATACCACTTGTTCGAGTAAGGCGTTCCAATCATTGACTACACGATGAGAAAAACGGGACCCCACTTTAAGTTTATTAGATCCTGGTTTATGAACCTTCTTGCTATGACCTCGGAGATTATTAGTGCTGGATGGAGCAAAAAGATAAGACATATTAACACCCAAATCATAATTAAAGATACGAAATGCCAGTATAAGGTCACCTCGTGTCCTACGATACGACAAGGGAAAAAGATTTAGACGTTTTAAACGCTCATCGTAAGGGAGTTTAGAAAGACCCTTCACCAATTTCGTTCTCACACGCTGGACACGCTCAAGGGAGTTAGTATCCTTCACCAGACACGGGCTAGCTGCTTGGATACAGTACTTCAAGTGTGGTCTTATATAGGTGGGATATAAAATTCGAAACGTTTCCTCGTCAAAAGATTTGAACGCCCGGCGAAGTGACCATAACGCACGAAAACCTTTGACAGCGGCTGCTTTGCAATGCGTAGTTGTTTTTAAATCATGACTTAATACTACTCCTAAGTCTTTATGCTCTTGAACGCATGGAAGAGGTTTACGATCAATAGTTTAACGGTAACTATTACCGTGACCGATGTGCATTAGTACACTCTTCCTAGCATTGATTTCTAAGCCCCACTCTCGAGCCCATCTAACTAAATCGTCTAAGTCAGCTTGAAGATCCAGATGATCAGCCGCACTTTTTATTGCTCTTCAGATTTTTACGTCATCCGCAAACAATAATGTCGACGACCTAAGTAACAGCGGTAGCTCATTAACGTAGAGAAGGAAAAGCAGAGGGTTTAAGATGGTGCCTTGGGGTACACCACCTTTGA